TAAAAATAACAAATGTAGATGAAAATGTGGAGAAAACGAACTCTTGCCACTACCGATGGGAAAGTACAATGTCCTATACTAGAGCCAGGCACAGTGGTGCACACCTATGATCCCAGTGGCTTGGGAGGCAGAGGCACGAGGATCACAAATTCAAAGCCAGCCTCAAAAATTTAGTAAGATCCTAAGCAACTTAGTGAGACCCTGTCTCAAAACAAAAAAATAATGAAAAAGGGCTGGAGATGTGGTTCAGTGGTTAAGCTCCTCTGGATTCAATACCCGTTACCAAAAAAAAAAAAAAAAAAAGTCCTATACTTAAAAATTTTTGATGAGACAGTGGGGTGGAAGTTCTGTTGTGACCATTCTCTGGATGGTCATCAACTCACTGAGACCTAGGCATTGCCTCTCAAGAGAATGCAGTAATGTCTGTCTAAGAAATGAAACATCTGGTACAGAATAGGAAGTCAGAGGAAGAGAGATTGTCAGCATCAAAATACGATTACACATGATCATGTCAGTGCAGCCAATGGGGACTCCACAACCCACCCCAGAGAATTAAAAGCAGAGGAATCAAGGGCATAGGCTTTCTGTCAACCTAGAGAGAAAGCTCTTGGGCAAGGCTGATTGAAAAGCAGGTCCTGCTGGGCCAGGAGGGAGCACCTACACCTGTAATCACAGTGACTTGGGAGGTTGTGACAGGAGGATTGCAAGTTCAAGGCCAGCCTAGCAATTTAGAGAGACCCTTAGCAATTTAGCGAGAGAGACCCTGTCTCTAAAGAGGGACCAGGGATGTAGCTCAGTGGTAAAGTGCTCCTGGGTTCAATCCCACCCCAACACCCACCAAAAACAGATTCCTCCTGGGCTCAGACACACGGAACACGTTTTGAGAAACTCACAGCGGAGTTTCTCAGCTGGTCAAGTGCAAGAGAAGATAGCGTTCAGTCTGGGAGAATAGAAAGAACTGAGATTCTGGCAGCAAAGAGCCTCATGTCCAGGAGAGAATAAATAAGGGGGCACTCAGAACACACTTCTGGGGCCAGCCGCCCTCTGGGTATTGAATGCAGCAGCCCCCACCCCGCCCAGATGGAATGTGTCCATAAACACACTTCAACCCTTGAACTGCCACCAAGTCCAGGGTGAGCACACGTCCTCTTTAGGTCCATGACCGCCCCAGCTTACTCCCCTTGTTCCCACATCCTCTGGCTAGTGTCCCCTTTCACTCCCAAAGCATCCCTGTTGGGGATGACAAATCACATGACCACCTTACTCCAACCCCTCATGCCAGATGCTGGCGCAGGTTTTCTTGCCTCCCTACCAACTCCAAATCCCACGATTCTATCTTTGATAGAAGATGACTTAGAGCCCGAGTTGCACACGTTGACTAAGTGCCCACTGCATCACTGGAAAGAAAAGCTGTGTCCGGTGTCTTTCTGATTAAAAAAAAAAAAATCCCAATTCAAAGAACAAAAACTCACCATGTTCCCCCCCACCCCCGGCCCTTTGGTACTAGGGATTGAACCAAGGGGTACATAACCACTGAGCCACATCCCCAGCCCTGTTGTATATTTTATTTAGAGACAGGGTCTCTCTGAGTTGCTTAGGGCCTCGCTCAGTGGCTGAGGCTTGCTTTGAACTCACAATCCTCCTTCCTCGTCTCCAGAGCCACTGGGATTACAGGCATGCGCCACCCTCATCTGGTTTTCTGAGTGGTTTTAATGACCAGATCAAGAGGCTGCATATGTGATTTGATAAGGCACATACATAGAGTTGTAAACAGGGTCCAAATATAGACATACTTCAATTCTCAAAGTGGCCGGTATTCTATTAGAAACCTAAAATAAGAAAACAGTGTTTTTGTTTTTTCTTGGTACTGGAGATTGAACCCAGGGGTCCTTTACCACTGAAATACATCTCCAGCCCTTTTTATTTTATTTTGAGACAGGGTCTTGATAAATTGCTGAGGCTAGACTCCAACCTGTGCTCCTCCTGCCTCAGCCTCCCAAGTAGCTCCCACCCACACCTAGCAAACAGGGTGTTTTGAAAAAAATGCAAATACTACTTTTTTCCAGGCACTAAGAAGACTGTTAGGTACAGACCACTGCTCTCAAGTAATTAAAGTCTACAGTGTAAGACAAGTGCCTCAATAAACACACTTTCTATCACCTTTTACATGGAAATTTAAATGCTTATTTACATTTACTTTTAGATTTAAAGTCTAACAGATGTCTTGGGGCCCTTCTGAGAATCAAAATGGCTTACATAAATCCTTCAGATCAAAAGATTTTATGCCATCACAAACTTTCTATTTAATTCTATTGCCAATTCAAAATATTGATGTGGTTTTATTTCAGGTTTACGTAGAGCAATGATTGAAGGACGGCGGGTCCCACTTGATGCATTTTAAACATGCAGGTTGCTTTTTTCCTACTATAAATGCCTTTGAAGGAACGAGACAAAAGGGTTTTTGTGGAACTGAGATTTACTGAATGGAAAGGGTTCCTTTTAATGAGCCATTTGGAAGATTTTTAAAAATCCTTTTAGAAAATGTGAACTGCTATCAGAATTACTTCATCATGTTTGAATTATGTTTAAATAGGAAGCTAATGTCACAGCAGATTGCAGCAATGTTTACCTGGGGTTTCTTGTCATTTGCTTAAACTCTACACATAGCTTAAATACTAGAAGACACTTGCAAAGGAACCATTTTGTTGCTGGAGCTCTTTGGTAGATTTGGTGAGATGAGCTTTGAGGTCCTATCATGTGGCAAGACCCCGTGACAACTAAGGAGTAGAGGAAAATACTATTTTAAAGAATTCTCAGAAGTGGCCTTTGGAGATGTTCTTAAAAGACCACAGGATTTTAACAGAAAAAAAAAAAAAAACAGGGTGGGACGTGGGAAGAGTGGAAAGGTTTCCAGGTTGCAAAGGCTGCAAAGGCCCATGGGAAAGAAGGGCACCAGGCAACCCTGAGGTGTGGTGGGAGATAAGTTTACAGCAAATGCAGGTCTTCCTGGTTTAGAGAAAGCTTGCATCCTGTTTTGGGCAAATGAGTGACACTAAATCTCTTCTTGCAGATCTGACCTAGAATTAGAAAAAGTTGGAGGAAGAAACCACTTAGGAGGATTTTGCAATTCTTCGAATAAATATCATGGTGCAAACTGGTTTAGCAGCAGTGGTAAGAGCAAAGGCAGTGCTGGGGACGGAGCCCAGGGCCTTGCACATGCTAAGTGTGAGCTCTACCACTGAGCTACAGGTACCCCACTCCTGGGACTGGTTTTTTAAAATTCTAATTCAAATCCCTAGGAAGAGGTAGGAAGTGTGCTTTCTCTGAGGATTTCTCTGAGGCTTTGACTTGGACAGTGGGGAGAGGAAGAAGCCATCATGATACACAGAGGCCATAAATGCAGGTTCTGGTGAGTGAGATGTGCTTAGTTTTGGATATTATACTCTTGAGTCCAAGGTATCAGGGGAATAACCAGAGGGCAGATTACAAATGCATCCATGTAACCTACAAAATGTTCATAATTATAAGTAAACACTTGTTCAAAAGATGCAGGAAGGAGGGAGGAAAGTTAGAGAGTGAGGAGGAAAAGACAGGAGCTTTCCAGAAAGCAGTTGGACACTCAGACTTCTTTCTCAGGAGAGGTCCTGGGGAGGTCATGGCACAGAGACGGTGAGTAAAGAAGGCACCAGGAGAAGAGGGCTGAATTCAGGTCTTGGCACAGGGATACTTAGGGGCCAAGAGAAAGACAGAAGTCAAGAAAGGAAACCATGGCTGGGGCAGAGCTAGAAGCCAGAGAACACAGAGCTCCCCGGATCCAAGGAGACAGGTGTCTCCAGACAACCAGGGACATCTGGGCATGGTGGCACAGACCTGTAATCCCAGTGATTCAGGAGGCAGAGGCGGGAGGATCTCAAGTATGTGGTCAGTCTCAACAACTCAACAAGGCCCCAAGCAATTTAGCAGGACCCTGTCTTGAAATTAAAAAAAAAAAAAAAATTAAAAAGGGCTGAGGGATGTGGCTCACGGTTAAGTGCCCATGGGGGATTCAATCCTTGGTTAAAAAAAAAAAACCAAAAAAAAAACCCAGACAACATCAAAAAAACCAACCACAAGGGACAGAAGTCAGAAGAGAGAAAAGTCACAAGCACTGGCACGTGAGAGCTCCTTACTGAGCCCTAATTCTGGGCTGTGCCCCACGCTGAGAACATAGCCTGTCTTGTGCTCCTTATCCAACCTGGGACATAGGTAACACTGGGGAGCTGCACCGGTAGCTTTAGATCTGTGAACTGACTTCTTCAAAGCTTGCACTGCTGAAGGGCAGGGCCAGGACACCAATCCAGCAGGGCCTCACCCAAACCATGTTCCCCTCACACAGTTGGCCTCCTGCTTCAACATGGTGGTGGGGTGGAACTCAGATCCCAATGTCTGGAAAAGAGCAGGGGATGGAAACTCACCCTGATGCTATATTTGCAGAGGCCTAGAATAAAGCTCAGTGCTAGATGAGAATGTCAACTATCATCAGTGAAAGGAGTGGGTGGTGGTGAAGCTTGGGGGAGCAGGGCTGCACCTCTTCCGGGAAGGGGCAAGAGAGATGGGCACTTTAGATCCTTGGTGAGAAGATGAAAATCATTTCACAAAACAGAAACCTGCATTCAAGCTGGGCACCATGGCACAGGCCTGTGATCCCAGTAACTTGGGAGGCTGAGTCAGGAGGATCACAAGAGTTCAAGGCCAGCCTCATCCACCTAGCAAGACTGTCTCAAAATAAAAAATGAAACGGGCCAGGGACAGAGCTCAGTAGTAGAGTGCCCCTGGGTCCAATCCCCAGAACTGATTTTAAAAAAAGGAGAGAAAGAAAGAAATGACCTTCTTTCAAGTAAGATTTGAACACTTTAACGGAATGCAGTAACTTGCTATTTTCCTTTCTTAATATATATGAAAATGCTATTTCCTATTTTAACATATGTGTAAAAGTATTCATGCATTAGACTTGTACATACTTTTTTGGTTTCCTTGCATTTTTCTGTTGAGAGTTTGAGTTTTTCTTTCAAAAGGACATTAAACGCTGGATCATGGGGAAACAAACAAAAGGAAAACAGGCCATGAGAACTCATGAGCCTTGGATGGAGATTAACACCAAGCATTCGCGTGGATTCTGTCAATCACAGGGCGTTTTTGGAAGGGGAAGGAAATTCATGTTGCCCTTTGAGGGAAAAGAGCCTTTCTCCCGAGCTGCTGCAGCATTTGTGACACACACTTAGGCTTTCCCCCATGGACATAGCCACACTGTCACGTATGGATGTCACCGAGAGAAATACACAAGCTGACAGCTCATCTGGTGGCTGTTCTCAATCTGGTCATTGTCCCTGTGAACACTGCGCATCCCTGAGTGTTTCAATAGGGCAGAAGGATTTTCTTCCTCTGTATCCAAAAAAGCACTCTGGGAAGGGAAGGCTAGGCCTGTGCCCAAAGGCTTTACAGTCAGGAGGACCAGCAGTGACAGGAATCAGCCTGGGGAGGAGCATTTTGATCAACTTGGAGGATTCGTGTGCCGTTCATTCAGTGAAGTTTCTTGTTTGTTTCTTTTGCACCTGGGATTGAACCCAGGGGTGCTTAACCACTGAGCCACATCCCCAGCCCTTTTTATTTTTTGAGACAGAGTCTCCCTAAGTTGCTGAGGCTGGCTTTGAACTCAGAGTCCTCTTGCCTCAGCCTCCCAAGCCGCTGGGATTACAGGTGTGCGCCACTACACCGGGCTCAGTGCAGATTTTAATGGAGGGATTTTAAACAAGCTCTCCAAATCAAAAGCATTTGGGAAGTTTGAAAAGAAGTCATATAATTAATGTTGGGTCTGTGCACTGTCCAATGAGTGAAAGTGAGAAAAATCCAACACACTGGTTATTTGAATGAACTAGTGCTCAGCCACAGGTCTAGAGCTCCCTGTGCCCCCCTCCCCATCACAGTTCTATCCCAACACTGTGTCTATGCAGTGGCCAAGACTGAATTTCCACCAGACCTGTTCCCCCTCCACAGCCCCATTCAACCCCTCCATTCAAATGGCACCAGGGCTAGGAGACTTTTCCTATGAGCAAGTTCAAATGCATGATCATACCTCACCTGGAGAACCAGGTCTTCTCCTTGAGCCAACACTGGCCATTGATAACACAGGACTGTCTTACAGGGTGAGGCTGATTCAGAGCCTCTACCTCTGACCTGGTGGCCTGCAGCTGGCTAGCTTCAGGTGGACTCAGTCCAAAGCAGAGTCAAAGTTCACGGACTGAAAGACCAATTACGTCCCTGCCCCAGCATTGGAGCCCGTCGGTGGAGCCTGCATGCTGGGAACCCCGGGGGCATGGCTCTGTGGCTTTGACCTGCAGTTCTGGGAGCTGTGGACAGTTCCCTTGAGCTCCTTTCCAGGGCAGGAACAGGCAGGCCCAGGTCTGGGACAGAACTTGGAACACACACACATCTGGAGGGGTCTGGGGTAGCCACTTGCCCTGAGGCACCTTGTACAACTGTCCTCATGGGGGTCAGTCCTTTTCAAATGAGGCTAGCTGTGCCAAACCCCTGGGGAAAGCCCTGTGCTCCTCCTGGCCCAGGGTTAGAGGGGATATTTTACAGGGTACTAGTGTTCTTAATTTAAACTATATGAAATTGTCCTTTTTTTGTATATCAAACATGATGCAGAATGTAACATGCTCATCCTCACAACAGAAATTATGAGAAGCTGGGTACGCCTATAATCCCAGCAGCTGAGGAGGCTGAGGCAGGAGGATTGTGAATTCAAAGCCAGCCTCAGCAACTTGGGGAGGCTATATGCTATTTATCAAGACTCTGTGTCTCAAAATAAAAAACAAAAAGGTCTGAGGATGTGGCTCAATGGTTAAGTTCCTCTGGATTCAATCCCTGGTACCAAATATAAATAAATAAATAAACAAACAACAAACAAATAAATAAATGGATAAATAAATAAATTAAATAAATAAATAAATAAAAGAAATGATGAGACAAGAGTAGGGTACATGTGGAAAAATAACAATTTTGAGAGCCAGACCTGGGTTCAAATCTCAGTTCTGTTACTTTCACTCCACAAACACATACTGAATTCCTTCTATTTTGCTGGATACTATTCTTGGAGCTTTACAGAGAGGGGTGGTCCAGATAGGTAGGCAGCCCTGCTCCTTATCTTATGGGGCCACTTCCTGGTTGGACCAGTTGCTCCGCTTCTCTGAGCTTCAGTTAAGTATTGTAAAGGCTAAAAGGGATGATGCACATCAGGCACAGAGCGCATGGGCATATTATCATTCCGTGGCTCACAGGAGCTCTAACCTATGGACCAAGAAAGCCTTGCAAGGCATTGTGGGAATCTCCAAGGCTATCCTCTAAGAGCCCTGACGCAAGAAATGACTGTAGGAAAATGGGACAACCAGGGAGAGGGCCACAGGGACTCCCAAGACCACTCATCCCAGCCCATCCACTCTTCCACTCAGAGAGGCCAGTTGCTGTCAGTTCTCAAATAAACCAGGAGGGCAATAGGCAGAGGAGGGTGTGAACTGCTTCATCTTTTTTTTTCTTTTTTCTCTTTCTCTTTCTGGTACCAGAGATTGAACTCAGGGGTACTTAACCACTGAGCCACATCCCCAGCCCTTTATTAATTTTTTTATTTTGAGACAGAGTCTCATTCTAGTTGCTGAGGTTGGTTTTGAATTTGCCATCCTCCTGCCTCCTGAGCTTCTGGGATTATAGATGTGTGCCACCACACATGCCTTATATAATTGGTTAATAATGGCTTCCCCCTGCCTCCAGTACCAGGGATGGAACCCAAGCCTCATATTTTTTTAAAAATATTTTTTAATTGTTGATGGATCTTTATTTATATGCAGTGCTGAGAATAGAACCCACACCTGGTTCATCTTTCTTAATAGACATGAAATCATTTATTTAATACAAATAACATAATGCCAAATTTATTGATTGCGACAGAGATTGAGGAGGCCTCAAATTACCTATAGAGTTTTCTAGCTTTTTTGTTTTTTTCATTTTGCTATACTAGGGACTGAACCCAGAGGTGCTCTACCACTGAACTACATCTCCAGCCCTTTTAAATTTTATTTTGAGACAGGGTCTTGTTAAATTGTTCAGGCAGGCCTTGAACTTGTGACCCTCCTGCCTCAGCCTCCAGAGTAGTGGGGAGCAGCTGGGATTATAGGCACCAGGCTGGAACTTCTGGTTTCAAGCCATCAACACATATCTGGCTCTAGTTATGTAAAGGATATGCAAGTTAGCTAATCTTTTCCCTAATTTCCCACCTAAACAAGTCTCCGGTGTGAACAGAAACAAAGGATTATAGATTCCTTTTGTAGCCCAGGGCCTATTTCTGGGCTCTGTGTGCAAACACGCCACAGGGCTATTTCGCAGGTCAGCATGCACACCATTTAAAGCTGCATAAATTGCGCTGGACAGAGTATTAATAAGTGTGAAGTTACTCTGTAGCAGTTCAGCTCATGACGATACCTTCACTCTTGTCCTGAGGTCCATTTGACTTTCTGGGTCCATTCGGCACAGGTGGGGTACAGGGAGGCGAGACCAACAATTGCACTAACTTTTTTTCATACACTTTTCTGGTGGAAGCTGAGGAAGAATGTGAAGAACAAATTACATTGTCCTGTTTTTGTATGTGAGCTTACTGGGTTCAAAGTATTTCATAATTCCGACCTTTCTTCTAGGCTCTTATATAATTGGTTAATAATGGCTTTTTGTTTTTTTCTTCAGCACCAGGGATGGAACCCAGGCCTCATAAGTACTAGGCAATCGCTCTACCACTGAGCGACATCCTTAGCCATGTGGTTGTTTTTTTTGTTGTTGTTGTTTGTTTTTAATATTTTTTTTTAGCTATTGATGGATCTTTAATTTATTTATATGTGATGCTGAGAATTGAACCCAGTGCCTCGCACATGCTAGGCAAGCACTCTACCACTGAGCCACAACCCCAGCCCCAGACATATATATGGTTTTTAAAATGGACCCCACAGCTGCTCAACTCACTTTTTCCCTTTCACAAATACTTAGGTGATACCTCTGGAATAGCCACAGAATCAGGCATTGGATACATCTGAGAACAAGATGCCATGGCTGTGCATCCTATGTATGATGAATATAAACAGTGAATACATAAGTCAATAGTTCATACAGAGCATATAGCAAAAACGAAACAGGAGCTGGGCCTGGTGGCACACGCTTGTAATCACAGTGGCTCAGGAGGATGAAGCAGGAGGATGGTGAGTTCAAGCCAGCCTCAGCAACTTAGCAAGTCCCCAAGCAACTTGGTGAGAGCCTGACTCTAAATGAAAAATAAGGGGCTGGGGCTGGGGCTCAGTGGCAGAGCACCTGCCTCGCACCTGTGGGGCACTGGGTTCGAGCCTCAGCACCACATAAAAATAAATAAACAAAATAAAGATATTTAAAAATGAAAATAAAAAGGGCTGGGATTGTGGCTCAGTGGAAAGCACCTCTGGGTTCAATCCCCAGTACCGAAAAAGAAAAAAACAAACGGGTAATATAATAAAGAGTGACGGGTTTTTCATTGTCGAAGAAAACTAATCCCTTCTCTCTGGCACCATATTGATATGTAAGGATCTTCTCTCTGTGTGGTTTCCTGTTTTCCAATGTCTATTTGTGAAGGCAGGACCTCACACATGCTAAGCTGCTGAGCTATAGCCCCAGCCTCCTTATTTCTTTTTTTATTTTTTGGTTGTAGTTGGACACGATACCTTTATTTCACTTATTTATTTTTATGTGGTGCTGAGGATTGAACCCAGGGCCTCGTGTGTGGGAGGCGGGCGATCTACCGCTGAGCCACAACCCAGCCTCAGCCTCCTTATTTCTAGTGGGAAACCATTTTCAATGGTTTTTATTGTACCTGTTCCTTTTACTCTAAGTTGTTTTTAAATCTTTGGAGGTAGTTTGTAAACAGTCAAGGGCTACCTCCCAATATTCACTGTGTACATACGTACGTAGTATTGGGCCCGGTAAAAATCCAAGCTTTTCCAGTTGATTCTGCAGTTCACAATCACTCAGGCACTTCACATCCACCATGGTGATAAAAGTTTGGCCTCTTTTCTGACAGTGGAATCTTTGAAATAGTAAAACAGTACATTCATTACAACAGCCTTTATGAATAAGTACTAAAACTTTTCTTATCCACATAAAGCTTTACAACTCATAAAGCCTACATCTTCACCTCCTGCTGTTTTCTGCCACAAAGCCCGGCTGGGATCAGTGACCTCCATGCAAAACCATGGGTGGGTGTCACTTTACCCAATGTTCTTGGGGTTCAATTCTTCCTCACTTTTCTACTTGACTAATGTGAGAAAAATCTTTGGGACAACTTTTTCCTTTACTGCTCAGGATCTCTGAGTAAGACGCAAGCTCTGAGAAGATAAGAATTTAATTAAACAGGAAAGAGCTGAGAGAGATTTTTTTTTAGTGAGTTAAATAAAAAGTTATTTATCCCTGCCCTCCTTTTGATGAGAGTACAGAGAGTACAGAGCGGTCGGTTATTGCAAACAGTAGTAGTTTTCACACTTGTAATTTAACTCTGAGCATAACGAGATGGTAGTTTTTAATTAACCGCCGGCAGACTTGGTAATTGCTGAATTGGCATTTGAAAAGAGTCAACTATTCATTCTCTGGCACCCAAATTGATTTATATAGATTTATAAAAGCCTTGATATGGCTTTCCCAAACTGCACAGCCCCACATTCGATCAGTTTTATTCCAGTGATCTCTTGATCTCCCCCCTCCCCCCAAAAAAACCCTGACCCTTCCACCTACTTAACAAAATCCTGAAAACGAGAGGCCCATTAGTCAAGTCTTTTAACAGAGATGTTTTCATTCGGGAGTTTATTGGTTGTACCTCATTTCTATCATGTTTCAAGACTTTTTAATATTGCAGTGAAAACGACCGAAAGATAATTACTCAGCATAGAGGATCTAGACCCATTTTAAGTAATGACTTTGCTTTTATTGGTGATCAATCAATGTCCAATTAGGAAGAACATCATATACAAGCTAGAAAAAGGGGTGAATTGTTACGGTACCTAGGAACACCTAGTGGGACAGTTCTCCACTTTAAAGCCATGTTTCTTTTTCTCATGCATAGTAGGTACTTGGTAAAGGTTAAGTTTCTTCCTTTTCTATGTGTTGGGGAAACTGAGTTAGCACTTCTGAACCCGTAAAAAACAACCTAACACTAGGAAGTAAAAGGGCACCGCACTTCAGCAGCTTAGATTCTTTTTTTCTTTTTAATACTGGAGGCTAGCTGAGGCAGATCCTGTGACATTTGTTCCCAAGAACAGCTGTCTGTTGTTTCCCCCAGCTTCCCAAAAATAACCTCCAAAAGAGACCTCATCAATTTCAAGTGACACTAGACAATTGCCTAGAGGGAACGCACATATGGAAGAAAAATATTCAAATGGAATCCGAGCAGACGATTAATCCACTTACCCCTTCACATGGTTATCTAAAGCCTAGGCAGTTGTGCTGGTGACTGAAGCTGGGTGAGTTTCTCCCTAGGGTTTCTACTGGAAACCCCTCCCTCTTTGCCTATTAGATATTATGGTAATCATAATACTGACGGTGTGACATCAGTCACCCCCATAGCAACAGATTGATGTATAAATCAGATGATTAATTGAACCCAAGTTCAAACAGAAGGAGGCACTGGTCGACTTCATAGGCAGGCTGCCATGATAAAATGTCAAGAGATGCAGAGTAGTTATCATTATGCACAGGAAGCAAGGAGCAGTTACCAAGCCAAATGGTGCCAAGGAACTGGGAAGAAAGAAGAGAAATCAAATAAATTCCTGTGTCTGGGCCATGATCAAAAGACCCACAGTAGTAGATGGTAATATGGCCATATACTCTAGATAAAATAGAGAAGTGAGAGAAAGCTGTACTAGATTGTTAAGAATTGTTCAGTAAAGGAAATGAGAGGGCTGGGGGCATGATTCCCTGGTAGAGTGCTTACCTAGCATGTATGTGCCAGGTCCTGGGTTTCATCCCCAGCATGGGAAAGCAGAGTGAGAGCAGGGTACAGGGGCTCTTGCCTGTAATCTCAGCTATTCTGGAAGCTGAGGCAAGAGGATCTCAAATTCCAGATAAGACTAGGCAATTTACTGAGACCTTATTGCAAAATAAAAGCATTGGGGAGATAGCTCACTGATGCAGTGCTTACCTAACATGGGTGAAGCCTTGGGTTCAGTCCTAAAAACCATTAATAGTAATAATAATAAGAAGAAGAAGAAGAAGAAGACAAAGAAGAAGAAGAATCAGAATGAGGATGGAGTGTAGACAAATAATTCATACACTGCCGAAGTCTGATGGTTTGGGTCTTTTCCAAAGCATTTTACGGGGCTGTAGCTGTAGCTCAGTGATAGAGCGTTTGCCTGGCATGCCCAAGCTCCTGGGTTCAACTCAAGCAAATAAATAAAAATAAAATTTAAAAAGAACTTTCAAATCCATTTCATCTACCAGATACTCCCATAAGTCAGCTGAATTGAGCACAGTGGTGCACACCTGTAACCCCAGGAACCAGGGAGGCTGAGGCAGGAGGATTGCAAGTTCAAGGCCAGCCTTAGTGAGCAATTTAGGGAAACCCTGTCTCAAAAGAAAACTTTAAAATACAAAAAGGCTGGGGGTTGGGCTGGGGTTGTGGCTCAGTGGTAGAGCACTCGCCTAGCATGTGCGAGGCCCTGGGCTTGATCCTCAGCACCACATGAAAATAAATAAATAAAATAAAGGTATTGTGTCTAACTACAACTAAAAAAAAAAAAGGCTGGGGGTGCAGCTCAGAGGTAGCGAGTTTCCTGGGTTCAATCCCTAGTATAGGACGGGAGGGGAAAGTGGGGGGAGTCTGAGACAGATATTCTCAACCTGCATTACAAAAGCCTTTGAACCCAGGGCCTCAACCATGCTAGGCAAGCGCTCCACCACTGAGCTACATCCCCAGCCCCAAAGGCTCTTGTTGTTGCTTTATTTAGCTCAAGGGAAGATCTGTTTAAGGAAAGATCTGTCAGACTCCTGGCTTGAGTCTTTCAGGAAAGACTGCTGCAATTTTAAAAACAATTATGGAAGACAAAATGTAACTGTGAGAAAACATGATGCGTTGATTAAATACCAGGAAAATGAGGGAACTGTCTACAAAGGTTTAAGGGAACAGTGGAGTCAGGCAGCCTAGAATCAAATCCCAGCTCCATCACCAGCAGGGTGGTACAGGATTAGGCAATCACTGAGCCTACTGTGTCTCTTCATCTGTAATGGGGTATCAATGGTACCTCCTCCCAGGGCTGTCCTGAAGATTCATTGTGTTATATAATCATAGAAAGTGTGAGCACATGGCACGCACTGTTTAAATATTTTCAATTATTTTAATTATTCATGAGCCCCAACCTCAGAAATTTCCTGCCTCTCATCTCTTCCCCAGGAGGCTCCATCCCATTTACACATGCTCATGGGTCTCTATAACTTCAGCCCTTCTCCGGCCCTGGGAAAGAGCTAAGCATCTTGGGATACACTGAGTGCTCCCAGGCTGTGGCTCCAAAGTTTCTGAATAGAGAGCATCAATTTCCCAACAAACACGCAATGCAAACATTTACCAACATCCAAACATGGCATTCACCAAACAAAGACTTGGAAAATTGACACATTTGTTTCCATCAAAGCAAATAAATGATAGGCTTGGGTTATTAGGATGCACAAGCATTTTGTTTACATTTCCCAGAATTGCTTTCAACAAAAGAGCAGCCAGCAGGTGGAACCGCTTCCATTTTAGACAGTGAGACTGTTGGAATGAAACAGACATTTCTACAATGTTTTCTTGGTTAAACCTCTGGGGTTAAAACAAGCCATGATGAGAAAGGATTAAGCCAGATGCTCTCAACCAGCATCTATGGGTTGAGCCCCCTATGATGTACAAACTATGCCACCTGAAATTGTTCTCCTGAAGATCCATCTCATGCATATCCACGATTCTTTTGTTAGCACTATTCCATTTAAGAATTCCCATAGGCTGTGGAATCGTGAAATATTTGGCCTCAATGTGTGCAACATTCCTCTCAGTTTTCTCTCTGTAGTTCTGGGCATTAGCTTGTGGTTGTTGGTTGTTTTTTTTTTTTTTTTTTTTTTTTTCCTCTTCATAGCTGCAAAGACATTGCCTTCCATTTCTGGAGGGAAGCAAGTTTTAATTGCCAATTGACTAGGTATTCAACATGATAAGGTATCTAAATCCTGAGAGCTTCCTCCTTTCATTAAAATGTAGATCCAATTTCTCTCCCCTTAATGCCACATGCTGTTATTAAACTGAAATAGCAGAAATAGTAAAAGCCAGATGTCACTTCAGTCTCAGGTTTGATGTGGGGCACAATTTCCTCTCCTCAAGTTTAATCTGCCAGTTATTTACTAACCCCAGCCTTTGGAAGAATGCACAATTTAAATGTAAATGCAATTTACATAGGGGAGCAGATAGGAGATGTGCAGTTTCAATTGCCAATAACCGTCTGCAAAGGGGGGAAATCAACTAGAGCAAAGATGAGCAGCTGTCAGTCTGAAGTTTGCATCCATCGCCATTCTCAGATAACTTTCCTCCTTAAGCCACCTGCCTCTGAGCCTCAGTTGTGCAGGCAGGAGAGAACAGCCATTTCCCTAACTATTTCAAGCTGAATTTACTACTGGCTGGAGGAAGAGAAAGGTTTGGGTTTCAATGAGCTAAACTCATTGCCATTGTTGTTGTAAACATTAACTAACCAATCCCTTTTTGGGGGTGGGGGGTACTGGGGATTGAACTCAGGGACACTCAACCACTAAGCCACATCCCCATCCCTATTTATTTTATTTAGAGGCAGGGTCTCACTGAGTTGCTTAGCCCCTTGCTTTTGCTGAGGTTGGCACTGAACTTGCGATCCTTTTGCCTCAGTCTCCCAAGCCATTGGGATTGCAGGTGAGCACCACCGAACCCAGCTAGTTGACCAATTTCTTTCAAAAATATTCGTTGATCATCTCTTATGGGACAGGCACTTTGCTTGGCCTAAATAGGGAAA